TCTCACAGCTACTGAAAACGTGTGATTTACAGCCTCTGAAGAAAGTTTTGACAGTCTATTTCCCAAATCTCACAGCTACTGAAAATGTGTGATTTACAGCCTCTGAAAACCTGCTGGAAAGCCAGCCATGTGTCAGTTTTTACTTGACAGCTGTAGCAGCAACAATAACTCAACAGCAAGAACAACATCACTACCAGTAAGTCAAGAATAACAATAATAACAATATGTCAATAATAATAAAGACATCCACATGGAGCATAGTTCCTCCTCTGATACTCACAGGGTTACCAGGAGCCAGAGTCAACCCAATGGTAACTGGTTTACTCAGTGCTGGGTATAGTTTCCAACTATCATCGTAATAGTGTAGCAGCAACTGGATAGGCTGTTCAAGGCTGTTCACTGCTCCGTTGCACAGATGAGAAAACTTAGGTCTGGTGACATGCTCAAAGTCACACAGCTAGGATTTGGTGGAGCCAGAACTTGAACTTGGGTTTGGTCTCTATCACTGGGTCTCACCCATAGGTGATTTTATCCCCAAGAAGACATTTGGCTATGTCTGAGATATTTTTAGTGTCGACATCAGGAAACAGAGGGACAGCTACTGACATCTAAAGTTTGAAGGCTAGAGGTGCTGCTCAGCACCCTAGAAGGCACAGGGCTGCCCTCCCCACACGCAGTAGTGAATTCTCCAGCATCAAATGTCAAGTGCAGAGGGTGAGAAATCGTTCAAGGGGAAAGGAATGTTCTATACTTTGAGCTGTGAGGAAGTTACACACAGGTAAGAACTCACTGAGTCAGACACTTAAATTTGTGCACTTTGTTGTGTGTTTGCTGTTATTATTGTTGTTATGTGCCGTTGAGTTGCCTGTGACTCATCGCGATACTATGTACAAGAGCCCTAAACCCTGCTCTATCCTGTGTCAACCTCACTGTCTCTGACACTTCTACTACTCCCATTACCCCAATCACTGAATCGATCCATCTCATTGAGGGTCTTACTTCAACGAAGCACTTCCCCCCCCCCTTTTTTAAATTTTTTCTCTTCCTACTTGTTTATTTACAACATTAAAATACAAATTTGAACAAATTCTTTCAATGAAATACTTTTAAAAGTTAAATTAGACAGGATCCCCTTCTCCAGGAAATGCCATACATTTGTTTTGTTTTGTTTTGTTTTACAGTTGTAGAGGGGCTTCCGGCCTATTGTTCATAGGGTTGCTATGAGATGTGCTGGACTCGAAGGCAATCAACAACAGCAACATTTAAAATGCAAGTAGCAGAGCACAGCTTTGAACCCAGGCATATGTGAATAACATTTGTTCCTCTGAATCATGGCAGAAGCTCTGCTCCCTCGCTGGTCCACCCCTGCTTCCCTCATCACTCTGCTCCGAACCACGCTCCACAATCCACGCAAAACCCTCCAGGTGCCTCACTCTGTAGTTGGGATGAAGTTGGAATCTCACACTGAGGTCTTCATGACATCACTCAGTCTTTCTTTCCTTCTAGTCTCCCTTCCTGCTTCTGTCTAACAACTGGCCTCTGTGCTGGCGCTTGTGCACACGATGGCCTTGCTACCCCAGGACCTTTGCATATATTATTTCCTCTGCTGTCTTCTCCATTCAGACCTCCACCTAGATGTCACCTCCTCAGGGAGGCCCATCCTGACTACTACTACACAATGTCCTACCTTCTCCATCTCTACTACCTCAGCGTCCTCTTAGTTCTTCTCTTAAACACCCCCCCCCCAAAAAAAATCCCCAACCAAACCCCTTGATTTAAGTAATTCCAACTCATGGAACTCTGATGTGCCACAGAGTAGAACTTACCTCTGCAGGATTTTCTTGGCTGTGATCTTAATGGAAACATCTCTCTAGGTCTTTATTCTGTAGTAGCATTGGGTGGTTTCAAACTGCCAACCATTAGGTTAGTAAGGACACAGCTATTGAGTAGATTTTGACTCATAACAAGGCATGCATTGGGTTTCTGAGGCTGTAAAATCTTCATGGGAGGAGACTGTCCTCCTT